CATTGGCAATATTTCCAAATATTTGCTTTCTTGACTCTCTGAGTCAAAAAGGTTCCCGACCTCTGGCTTAGAGGAATACTTGCGAATTATTGATATGATCAATGGTAGTCATTAGGGTTAGTCAGTATTTTGTGAGTAACATTCATATGATCCCTTAAACAGGACATGGGTAATAGGAGTGCCCCACCCAACTAGTAAATGTGTCCCTGCACATAAGTCAAGAACGGTTAAATATAACTATGTCCTAAGCCTAAAGCTAGTCATAGCATTAATCTATACCGTAGTCCTAATTGTAGCCCCGACCTTGACACTAGAATTAGCACTAACCATAAAAACCTAATTCTTGTGGTAGCCTGCACTGAGTATTGCTGTGCTGACTCATCCTTTTTTCGCTTCTCAAACCTTTGGTACTCGCGCGTGATCAGACGACTTCCCGCGCGCTGTTAATCGCTGCTAGACGCCCATGATGTCCTGTCCTTCCTATGCTCCCCCCGGCGACTCGCTTCACGGGCGCACGTAACTTTGAACCAGTCGATGTACATCGTCCACCGAATTGAGTAAGGACATTTTCCGCACTCAAGGCTTTGTAGTAGCGGACACTGACACGCTCATTGAACTGGCTTGACAACACAGCGGTTACGATCGCTTGGCAGCGCCTGTTGTAAAGCTCCTTTCGCACAGTAAAGCTCTTCCTACCAACCCTGTCTTACCTGACTTGTGATTTTTGGGGCCTTCTCTTATCGACACAATTTCTTACGACATCCTAACATTAGACATATCCCTGAGCATAACTTTAACAGTAAGCCTGACTTTAACACTAGAATTAGTCATAAAAATCTGGCCCTAACATCAGTCATATCTCTAAGCGTAACTTTAAACCAAACGCCAAGTTCCTTGAAATTTGGCGTAGAGCAACCTGTAGTTCGGGCGTTTCCTGTTAGAGGGCTATGGAACTTATGCCTCCTCTTAGGTAAGTTATGTGCAAAATAAGGTTTGGCTTTCACAAAAAAAGGATAAATTTCGAGGATACTACCTAAGAGTCTACGCCCACAAATCATCCAGATAGCCTACGATAAACTTATTCCATCACTTACAGATGATCAATCATTAAATTTACTTTCTGCTTCGATTGTTTAATTTCAATAAGCTTACGCATAAGCTTGCATGTTTTATTATATAGATTATAGCATACATGTTTTCATGTCACTTAATTATTGTGATATTGCCAAAAAAGTGTAAACGCAGCCATTGCTAAAAACTTAAAATTGTTTTTTACACTTTAAACGTTTGATAAATTGAATAATGCTCCACAGAAGAAATGCGCACATTTTTCATAAAAGTGGCATTTTATTTCTTCAACTGAGATATCTCAAGTTTAAATTCCTACCGCCAGTGCTTTCTAGAAGCTCTGCAGTTGCTGGCGGGCTTTGAGAATGAGCCCCAAAACAGAGCGGGACAAATGAGTTCTGTTAGCGATCGGTGAACCTTCATCAACGAGTTTCAATAACCTCCTATCTAAATCAGCAAGCCAAAGACCGGTGGCTCAATGGCTAAGGCGTGAGGCTTCGTTTAAAAGGTCCAGAGACGAGCCTCGGGTGGCGCACCACTTGGGGCTGGGTGTGACTGGCTGACGACGGCTAATATGCCAGAAATGGTCACTCCGGTCTCCTGTCTGCCTTTGCCAGCAATATCATCTACATATAGTAGCGTCTGTGTTAAAAGATCATTCCCCCCCGCAGAAAGTTCGAAATTAGCAGTAGAATTGGTTGTTGGTCGGAAACTTACTTGTAATGCAGTCGAGCACAAATTTGACCGTCAGGTCCAAGATGTCTGCCTTCTCTAGTTTCTGAGCATTCTGAAAAAAAATGGAAACGGCACATTGGATAAAATTACTGGTCCAAAACAAGTAGCTAAATGTTCACCCTTCGAAATTTTGTTTTGACGGATATTTTCCCCGTGTGACTTTGATCGCAGTCAAGTTTTAGCTTGGTAAAACCATTTTTGCATGACCTAAACAGCACACCAAGACGCACCTCCCCCCCCCGAAGAGGCCTCGCGATAAACAACTAGGTATGGTATGTGCGCACCCTAACTCCAACACAAACCTTAACCTAATTTTAAACGCAACTCTAGCATTTCTGTTAAAAAATTAATTCGAACCTTAGCCCTAACATTGGCTCGAACTCCAATCCTTGGATATATCAATTTTTTGCTTCGAAGTGTCCGGTTTGTTCAATGGGCAGTTTCACAAGCGGTCTGTTGGTCTTATGCGTGGGAATCTTTTAGTTCAATTTGATTTCGCGTGCTCTGATCTTTGACTAACTCGGATAATCGACTTCCTACAGCTATGAATTCCGAGTTTATCGCCTGAATAAATACATGTCAAAAGCCGTTGGAATCCATGAACGAGATAATTTATAGTCCTCTAAAACCGTCGGCGTTCCTGCAAGTTACCTCTGAAAATGTTCTACCAGTGGATTCAATTTAATCCCAGGACGTGAGTTGCCCAGTAGATGTTAAGAGAGACTTTAAATGAAACTTCGGTGTTCGTTGAATATGGACATAATAGTTTAACCTGCTATTGGCTTAGGACTTTAGTTTTTTCAGCGTAGAAAAGTAGAAAACTATGGGGATGATTATTTAGATGACCCAATAGCCGAATATTTGCGCGTGATAATGAAAGTGACCCAATAATGCCCGAATGGACACGATCATCGACTTTATATCGTGTACATGTAATCTCTATATCATATCTATAGGGTTGATGTAGAGTCGACGATTGTGTCACCTGGGCACTATTGGTCTATTTTAATTATCACGCACAAATATTCGGTTATTTAAATGGGCTGTTTGGCGACCTAAATTGAACTGTTACCGATGGACTCTAAATGTAATTTCGGTGTTCTCTGCATATAGGCATGATATATTACCTAGCTGTTCGCGTAGGACTTTAGTCCTTCCATTTAGTTTCCAATTAACTTACCTCCTTGAGGAAAGGTTCGGCAACCAAGCGTTTTAATTCCTCCAATGCCACATTTATTCTCTCTCGACGTCGTTTCTCCATCGCGGGTTTTCGCATCTGCAACATGTGTAGAAAGTTCTTGATGAGGAAAAAAGAATTGATTTATCGGAGTGTAAAGATGACTATACACAAAGTATACGGGATAGGCTGTCTGGCACAAACGAAATACAAGCAGATAGGTAGTATCGGAAAAGGGCAACAGGGTTTAGCAGGTTTTAATGACAATACTTTCAAAGACCGCGAAGACTAGACTGACTGTTTTCCGGTTGTTAATGATGTCCGTAATATGTCTAGAATTGTCCGTGCCTTAAACCGTATATACTTGGTATTTTAGGGTTAAGCCGAACACTCTCCCATTAAACCACGAAATCGCATCCTATTGCTTAACACTGGGAATATTCAAATCGCATACGTGTTCAGTTCAGCGATCTATTCTACTGCCTCGTTTAAGTTTCGAGGCGTACATCCTTCGAAACCAACTTCTCCGACACAGCCTAAAAGTTGGTAAGAAGTTCGCGCATCAATTTCCTTGGATCGCCAAAAAAAGGCCGAATGGAAACGATGGAGTTCGTAGACAAGAAAAGCACATACACAGAGATGGAACGCTGTGGGACGTACTGATGAGCCATTCGGTGGCACCAAGAAGACGAAACACACACGTCCGGACTCCTAGCTGGTACCTGTGCTGAGAGTATGCTAAATAATTACCATCTAGGCAGCTGGTATTGACGGCCAAGACACGGGAAACTGGGATGGTTATTTCTGGCATACTTGTCATCGTCCGCCAGTCATACCCAGCCCCAACCTCCTTTATTTACGAGTGTGAAAGCAAATGTTCGGATTCGAGGTATCTACATCGGTAAAGAAGAGATATAGTCAAACACCGAAACGATATGTTTGTTATTCTGAGCTTTCGGACCCTTACCTTCAATCACAGCCAGACGACCGTCAGAATAAATTGGCCCCGCATCCTCCAAAATCGCCCCATTTTCGTTGCTGACGTGGCCATTCGGCGCCCCACACCCAACAGTTATCGATGTTGTACACGTTCAAATTTTAACTGTTTGTTCACAGGCTGTAAGCAGCCATGCCTTTTTTGTGGCTTCCCATCTCGGACTCCTGCAAGAGTCCGAAAGCTCAGTAAAACAAACAAATTGTTCCGGTGTTCGACTATCTTCTTTACCGATTTATGAGTGTTAATATTTCCCGATATAGCACTGGGAAGACAACGAGTTGGTGACTCAACGTTTAGAGCGTTAGACCTCTAAGAAAATGATCGTGAGTTCGAGGCCCGGGGGTGCGCCACTTGGGATTGGGTATAACTGGCTAATGACGGTGGCTAATAAGTCAGAAATAGCCTTTCCAGTATCCCTTATCTTTGCCAGCAATACTATCTGCCTGGAGTACTAGCTGCTGAACGGCTGCTGTCTAAGCCTGAGAATGAGCCCCAAGCCAGAGCAGGACGAGTGACTTCCGTTGGCGATCTGTAGACGTTCCTCAATGAATTTCAATTAGGATATAGGACCAGCTTCGGAGGTAAAAAAGAAGAGAAGCCGGCCAGGAATCATATCGCCGCCGCGCGCACGAGGTTAATATCAACTCAGGCCGGCAGGAACATTCTTCAGTCGGCGATGAGCACGTCAGCCAGTATGCTGACTTGCGACAGCCGAAGAGTGAGCAGAGATCAATCGACCCCACCAGCGATCAATATCACGGTCAGTCAATATCGATCAGGCAGGTCAAAGTT